ATCATCAATAACAGTTCCCAGAGAGAATCAAGAAAGGCAGGTACAGCATGTTTGTCTTGAGGTGCAGCAGTCTTGATGTGACAAAGGCAAAAGTTTTACTTATCACTTTTGCTTTAAAGGTCTCTGATTGGCTTACGGGAATAGTCAGGCATGTCTTCTGCATTCATCTGGGTAGAAGTTTAATCCTAATTTCATGGAGGTAGTTGTGCTCAATATCACCTGGTAAGGTCCCTTTCATTTAAGCTGAAACTGATCTGAAGAGGATCTTCTTATGAATGGCTTGTTCAGGAATTTCTGACGTTGCAGTTTTTGTCAAAAACTCCTTGATTACTTGGAACACCTTCTGTAGCTCCCCTGTCCAGCATAGTGTGTCTGTGTCAGGGGCTCATTAAGCAAACACAAGGCTTAAAATGCAAATCCTTGAATCCATATCAACTTTTGTAGCTACCCTTTTCAGTACAGAGTCTGCATCAGGGCCTCTTTAAAGCTATATACAAAAGCTTGGAATCCAAATTCCATAACATCCTGTCATCAGTAATTCCCAAAACCGAAGCTTTTAGTTAGAAGCTCCTTAGTTCTCTGGAACAACTTCTGCAGCTACCCTTTTCAGTACAGAGGCCGCATCAGGGCATTTTTAAAGCTTTTTACAAAAGCTTGGAATCCAAAGTCCACTGAATTTTGCCATTCCCAGAAATCTCCTCTACTGTTGTTGTTTTTTTTTTAATTCTTTGAGGTGTGTGTGTGTGTGTTTTTTACTTAAAATTTTTTTTAAAGATTTATTTATTTATTTATTTATTTGAAAGTCAGATTTACACACAGAAAGAAAGAGAGGTACAGAGAGAGAAGTCTTCCATCCACTGGTTCACTCCCCAGTTGGCTGCAACGGCCAGAGCTGCACAAACCGAAGCCAGGAACTTCTGGGTTTCCCATGTGATTGCAGAGGCCCAGAGGCTTGGGCTTGGGCCATTCTCTACTGCTTTTCCAGGCTATAGCAACGAGTTGGATAGGAAGTGGAGCAGCCTGTTATCAAACTGGCGCCCATCTGGGATGCTGGCACTACATGTGGTAGCTTTACCTGTTGCACCACAGCACCGGCCCCATAAATTTGTTTCTTTAATCTGAAGGTCATGGTAATCTCATCTGTGACTCTGGACATAATGAGGTCTAGGCTTTTGTGAAGGGCTCTCTCTTCCTGTACTTTCTCATCCCCAGATTATGTCCTCTTTGTTTCCTCTATCTTCCACAATGCCAGGCAGACTTAAATGTGGGACTTTTCCTAGGCCTTGGCCTTAAGAATTGGAAGTCAAATAAAATGCAATGCAGTGAGTGCTGTAAATGCTGTGGAAGCAGTACTGCCTGCAGTTAGCATGGATGCTAACAAGGAAGTAATACTGACATGTTGGAGGTTGCCCAGTGTAGGCAGAGGAAAGTCCTCCAGCAAAATGGGCTCCTGGGGCATGTGAGAGATTACAGCTCTCAAGTCCTGGGCACCTAACTATATCCCAGGCTCTGTCCTCGGAGCCACCCTGAGATGGGATAGTAGTTTTCCAGTTTGACAGATACAGACCCAGAGGCAAAGTTAACTTCTAGGGCAAGATTGTACAGGCAGTCTGTCCTCCATGACCCTGCAGTTCTTGTGCTCTGCTGTTTAATAGATGGTACTATTGCAGAAAATTCTGAATGTAGACACGATGCACACATGTAAAATGAACACTTGAAAACATATTTAGGGGCTGGCATTGCAGCACGGCAGGTTGAATCCCCAGCCTGCAGATCGGAATCCCATATAGGTGCTGGTTCAAGGCCCAGCTGCTCCTCTTCAAATCCAGCTCTCTGCTGTGGCTTGGGAAAGCAGCGGAAGATGGCCCAAGTCCTGAGTTCCCTGCTACCCACGTAAGAGACTGGAAGAAGCTCCTGGCTCCTAGCTTCAGATCAGCTCAGCTCTGTCCATTGTGGTCAGTTGGGGAGTGAACTAGGAGATGGAAGACCTCTCTTTCTTTCTCTCTGTCTCTGGCTCTACCTCTCTCTGTAACTCTGTCTTTCAAATAAATAAAAGTAGATCTTTTTTAAAAAATCTTTATGTGCTGAAAATGGTCATATTTAAATTCTCAGCATAATTATGAGGAGGTAAATTAAGTTTTGTCTAGATAACCAGTTAATAAATATCTCTTCCATCTCATACCTTATATGCTTTTAAGTCTTCAAACTAGAATTTTTTTTTAAAGATTTATTTTATTTATTAGGCAGGCAGAATTACACAGAGAGGTAGAGACAGAGAGAGTCTTCCATCCGCTGGTTCACTCCGCAGATGGCCAGAGCTGCGCTGATCCAAAGCCAGGAGCCAGGAGCTTCTTCCTGGTCTCCCATGTGGTTGCAGGGCCCCAAGGACATGAGCTATCTTCTACTGCTTTCCCAGGCCATAGCAGAGAGCTGGATCGAAAGAGGAGCAGCCGAAACTAGAACCTGCGCCTATATGGGATGCCGGAGCTTCAGGCCAGGGCATTAACCTGCTGAGCCACAGCAACGGCCCCCAAACTAGAATTTAAAAATAAAAAGTTTATTTTTTTTTGAAAGGCATAATTAAAGAGATATTTGACCTGGCCAAAGCCAAGAGCCTGGAATTTCATCCTGGTCTGTCACACGCGAACAGAGCCCCAAGCATTTGGGCCATCTTCCACTGCTTTTCCAGGCACATTAGCAGGGAGCTGGATAGGAAGAGTATCAGCTGGGACTAAAACCAGTGCCCAAGATCCGGCGCGTGGCTGTAGTGGGCTAAGGCAAGCCTGCACCTGCAGCGCCGGCATCCCACATGGGCGCAGGTTCAATTCCTGGCTGCTCCTCGCTGCTATGGTCTGGGACAGCAGCGGAAGATGGCGCAAGTGCTTGGGTCACTGCACCTGTGTAGGAGACCCGGAAGAAACTCCTGGCTTCGGATTAGCAAAGCTCCATCCATTGCAGCCATTTCCGTTGTGGTCATTTGGGGAGTGAACCAGCAGATGAACAACCTCTTTGTCTCTTTCCCTCTCTCTGTTACTTTACCTCTCAAGTAAATAAATAAATAAATATTTTTAAAATAATGAGATAAAAACAGTGTCCATATGTGATGTTGGCATTGCAGGCAACAGCTCAAGCAACTGAACCACAAAGCCAGCTCCTCTACATAGAGTTGTGTGGCATTGAACATGCCTTTTGGGGCCAGTGGTTGTTTACTTTTTATGTTGAAATAAATAATTCATGGAAGTTGAAGTAACAGAAAGCAGTCCTCTATATTATTGCTGCATCATTTTCCTTTCAATGATAACATCTAGTTATTCATCCAATATTTTTGTTCTCTAATCTTTTATTATGTACTTCATCATTGCAGTATTTATCCTAATGATTATAAGATACACTATTACATTATCATGATTTCATTCAAATAATTTTTACTGCTTCCCCAAGAATGCTGGGATATTAGATCACTTTCCCCCATAAAGTGCTCCTCAGTTCTGTACATCTTAATGAAATTTATTTTAATAGAATAGGGGTATTTCTTCTTGCATCAAGAATTTCCTTTGAGATTTCTCTTCACATAGTCTGCTAACAATGATTTCTACTGCTTTAAAGAGAAGGTAAGCAATTTAAGAGGAGCACAGAATAAGAATTATTTTAATTGTATTCTCTTAAATGATCTTGATTTCACCTTCATTTTTTTAAAAGATTTATTTATTTGAAAGTGTGGTTTAGAAGAAAGTACAGAGAGAGAAGGAGAGGAGAGAGATCCTCCATCTGCTGGATCACTCCCTAGATGGCCACAGTGGCCAGGGCTGAGCCATGTGGAAGCCAGAAGCTTCTTCTGAGCTTCCCATTTGGGTGTCAAAGACCCAATTGAGCCATTTTCTGCTGCTTTTTCTCAGGCCACTAGCAGGGAGCTTGATTGGAAGCAGAGCAGTTGACACAAATCGGCACCCATCTAACATATGAGTTGCCAATATCATAGGCAACGGCTTTACCCAATATGCCACAATGCCAGCCACTCACCTTTGGTATGAAGAATAGTATAGAATTCAAGATTAGCAGCTGTTCCAAAACTTAAAACTGAATGCTGTGTGTGTCTGTTATTACTGTCTCTCTTAATGTTGTGTCACTGGGGCTAGTTGAAGGTGGTGTACCTTCTTCTAGCCTCTCTGTGAGATTGTTTGTTTGGTTTTTAGCACTCAGTTTGTACTTTTTAGTCAGCACTTGATACTTGCACATATTTATAGCTACATATTTATATTGTGTGACAATTTAGTACCTGAATGCAATTTGCAAAGATCAGATCTTTAGAAGGTAGGATTAATACCTGGCTGGTAATCAGGGCCTTGGCCAAATATGGGTGATGTAGCATCTTCCTCTTTATGTTTCTGAGTTGGCAAAAAGCCAGAGTTGGCTTATGGCAGGGGGTGACAGTCTTCCAGAGCAACTGCTTCTGCTGCTGTATTAGATTTTCCTGCTCTGGACTCCACTTGTAACTAGAGTTCAACTATTATTCTCTTCCTCTTCACATATAGAGTGCTCACCACAGGGAGGGGAGAGGCTTTGCATCTGAGTGTCAAGTGCTTAGTTTTCAACTGTTTCCCTACCCCTGGCAAATTATTGGAGAAAGAAAGGATGATGAGGGGAGGGACAGAGTGTGTGATGATGGGCTGGAAGGTGAGGACATGACCTCCAAGTCACCTGTATCCTCTTTTGGCTCATCCCAGTTCAACCTCCCTTTCTTGAGAATCTCTTTGAAAGGAACAGTTAACCATGAGGAGAATTTCCTTTAATCCTTCAAAGGATTTGATTCTAAGGACCAGAAATGCTGTGACAGTTGTTGCTCTGAATTGAAATAAATGTTTGATAGAAACATTGAACGGTACGGCTTGAGCACCCTTTCTTAACTGCTTGGTGCCCACTTCTAATTGTGACTTCAGCACATTCTTGTGCTTTTTAAGCAAATACTTACCTATGTAATTTGAATGATCTTTTGCCCTTAGCACCTGGCTGCTGTGGAAGAGAGAAAGATCAAGTCCCTGGTAGCTCTCCTGGTTGAGACACAGATGAAGAAGTTAGAGATCAAACTTCGACATTTTGAGGAGCTGGAAACTATCATGGACAGAGAGAAAGAAGCTGTAAGTAAGAGGGACTTCTGTAGTGGCTTTGCAACAACTCAACCCTTATCACTGTTCATAAAATATAAGCTAGATAAGATAATGTGAAGGCCTACTCTGTTGATCCCATAGCTGACTTCTGTCATTTTTTTCTGTTTGATTTGTGCATTCAAAAATAAGGAAATGTGTTCACTCTCTACATTTCAGCTTTCTATACCTGTTGATTGTTCAGTTATGACTTATTTATTTTTGATTTAATAAGTACTAGATAAATCAGAGAAATGAACCAGCAGATTTGCCAGCTGGCTCTGTCATTGTGGACCTTAGTGACACATCTTACCCAGTCCAAGCCACAGGGCTTTCTATAAGAGGGGCTCACAACAAAATGGCTTTCCATTGTCACCCAGCATCCCTGGTGGATTCTTGAACAAGGAGATTGAAAGCAGTCAGCACTTTTTTACAAATTTCATAGATGATTGATTACTGGTCGGCATAGTGGTAAGCTTGTAAATATTTATTGACACCTATTGTGTCCTGGGCTCTGTGCCAGTCATACGCCAGTCCTTCTCTCTTGACTTCTCTTAGCAATTCTGTATGGAAGTCATTAGTAGGAAAGTCTTAGATTTAGTTACTTGTAAGCAAGGATAGGATGCTAGTGCTGGGGTGGAGAACAGGTGTCTTAATTGTGCACAAAATGAGCTGGTGTCATTTTGAAGTCCAAAGGACCCATTCTAATTTTTGCGATTATTTCTAGACTAGCTTCTAGCAAACCTGCTTTCTTGCATGTGCAACATCCCAGCTGAACCCTGCCCATCCACCCTGGACCCAGAATTGATCTGTGTAACCAAGAGGATATGGTGGTTTACATTTTGGTCTTTTGAATCACTCAGAAACCATGCACAATAATAAATGCTTTTTTTATATATATACTGTCACTAGGCTTTGTGGTAACTTTTCATAAATAAATAATAAAGTTGTACTGTATTTATTGGATAGTACTAAGGACTGCAATACAAAGAATTTGCTTGCCACAAATGCAGCTTATATCAACTGTTAATTAAGGGAAAAGAAGTCTGACCACCAAAGAATTCAAGCAGAGTGTCCTTGTTAGTTGGATAGAGCCAGTATTTTTTTTAGAAAGCTTTTATTTAATAAATATAAAATTCATAGATACAGCTATTGGAACATAGCGATTCTTCCCCCTCTCCAGTATTTTCAACTGTACTATCTTATTCAGAGACTATCTTATAAAATACTTTGTGTGGTCTGATTAGAATTTAACCTTATTGGGGCAGGCATTTAGCCTGGTAGTTAAGATGTTGATTAAGTCTCCCATATCAAGTACCTAGATTCATGTCCCAGCTCTGCTCCCAGTTCTAGCTTACTGCTGATATGCTGAGAGACAGCAGGTGATGGCTTAAGTACTTGGGTCCCTGACACTCATGGCTAGACCTAGGTTGAGTTCTGGGCTCCTAGCCATTGTTGCATTTGGGGAATGAACCAGTAGATGGAGTTCTCTGTCTGTTGCTGTCTCACTGCCTCTCAAATTTTGAAAAGAAGAACATAAAGAAATAAGCCATAACAATTTTAACCCATTGACTCTGAGATACACAGATTTTAACATCCTCCAGTTATATACTAATAAAAACTGGGGATGAAGCCTCCTAACCTGCCTAATGTTTGTCTGCCTACCACATGTTTCAGTTCACTTGTGCACTACTGTTCATTCTTACTCAACAAACAGTTGCTTTAGGATAACTTTTTTTTTTTAAGATCTAGAAACTTATAGATTTCTCATTTTGATTTTTTTCTTTTTAATGTTTCCTTACTCATTGTCATTTATTTGAAAGAGTGACAGAGACTGAGAGACGAAAGAGATCTCCAATCTGCTGATTCACTGTCTGAATATCCACAACAGCTGGGGTTGGGCCAGGCTTAAGCCAGGAGCCAGAAACTCCATCTCAGTCTCCCACCTGGGTTGCAAGGACTCAAGTACTTGAGCCATCATCTTATGCCTCCCATGCATGTTACCAGGAAGCAAGATTGGAAGCCTGTGCGGAGGCAGGACTTGATCCCAGGTTTCCCATATGGGATGACAGCTTGTTGCACCGCGCCACAATACTCACCCCACAACTTTAATTAAACATTTGGTTTTGTTTAAATAGCAACAGATTTCAGAAGTCCTTGTTTTGAACTTACAGAGTCAGATCTGATATTTCTTTTTATCTCTGGTGACTTAAAATCAGATGTCCTCTTGAGTCTTAAGTATTTAGTAATTAAAGGATATGGAAATTTATTTTAGTATTTCATAAACATCATTCAGCTATGATTGTTGTTCAGTAACTTACTCTAACCCCCTTAAGAACTGCTAATGTCAGAAGAGGGCAGTACAGAAGGTAGAGCGTGTCAGGCAGATTGCCTGATAAAAAGCACTGGCTACAGTTCAGGTGAAGATGCTGAGCTGGCAGTGAGTAGGTAATTCCCATCCTGTAGCTCTGCTGGACTAAGCAGCTTCTGGTTCTAGGTAGATAGCACAGAGTCATCGAGAGAGGTTTCATAACATACACTGTGTTGAGGGATAAGACTGTTTAAAGAACCAGAGTGCTTGGACACTGCATATGATGTTCACATTTGAGGTTTTAAGATTTGTTTTTATCATTTATTTGAAAGGCAGAATGACAGGGAGAGACAAATAAATCTTCCATCCACTGGTTCACTCCCAAATGACTGCAACTTCCAGGGCTGGGCCAGGCTGATATCAGGAGCCAGGAACTCTGGGTCTCCCACGTGGCTGGCAGAGACTCAAGTACTCAAGCCATCCTTGGATGCTCTCCCAGACAAATTAGCAGGGAGTAGATGGGATCGGAAACTGAGTAGCCTGGACTTGAACTAGTGCTCCAATTCAGGATGCTGGTGTCACAAGCGGCAGTTTAACCTGTTGCACTACTACCCTGTTCTCCTGAATACTTTGAGGCCAATGACAATGGATCTATGAACTGATCCAGTTTATAGCTTTTGGACTAGGTGCTTTCTGAGTCTCTGGGGTTTGTTTGTTGAAGAATAGAAGTTGTATGCTTTGAGAAGAGACCATTTCGGAAACTCAAAGCTGTAAAAAGCCCGGACCATATCCTTGAGGAGTTTAGAGAGTGGATGAGACACATACAGAGAGTGAGATAACAGTTGGAAAATTCAGAGAGGTAGTCATAGTCAGCTCAGATTACCAAGGAAAGCTTCCAGGAGGATTTATCTGAATGGTGAGAATGGTCCAAATCTTGAACCATGAAAAGCATCATTGCTTAGGAAATATGAATCAGCCTGCCTGTGATGGCTTTTGTGGAAGAAATAATGAGTTGAGGCATTTGTTCATTGATCACATGTTTATTGAGCACCTACAGTGTTCTCATCATGTAGATACTGGGGATACAATGGTGAATAAAATCCAAACTCCACCTCAGAGGAGCTTAAAGAACTGGAAGTCTGGCCGGCGCCGTGGCTCACTAGGCTAACCCTCCGCCTTGCGGCACCGGCACACTGGGTTCTAGTCCCTGTCGGGGCGCCGGATTCTGTCCCCGTTGCCCCTCTTCCAGGCCAGCTCTCTGCTGTGGCCAGGGAGTACAGTGGAGGATGGCCTGAATACTTGGGCCCTGCACCCCATGAGAGACCAGGAGAAGTACCTGCCATCAGTTCAGCGCAGTACGCCTGCCGCTGCGCGCCAGCGGCAGCGGCCATTGGAGGGTGAACCAACGGCAAAGGAAGACCTTTCTCTCTGTCTCTCTCACTGTCCACTCTGCCTGTCAAAAAAAAAAAAAAAACTGCAAGTCATTAATGAACCACGGAAGTTATAAAGAGTTCTGTGCCATGTATGTTTATGTATACATGCATGCTTTGTATGTATACGTAATGTGTGTGAGTATTATGGGCTGGCCAGGAGAGATTAGGAATGGTGGGAGCTAAAGGTAGGATTTCAGGTTTCACTGGTATCATCAAAGCAGCTCTTATTGAGAACCTGGCAGTTGACAGGGAAGCATTGAAAACAACCAGTGGACAGACCTGAGACCAGAGCATGACTGCGTGTTTGGGAACTAGGACTAGGAAGTCAAGGCCGTTAGGAGGATAAATTCAGAGCAGGGTGGAGACACAGGGGAGGGGTGTTCATGATGGTGACCAAATTGAGGTTACTGTAAGCCATCCAGGGGCTTTTTGCACTTTGAAAAGTGGAATAATTGAAGAGCCTTAGTGGAGGATTGACACAATCTTCCTTACAGTCGAGCAGGGCTCAGTCTGTGGTGTGTTCTAGAGAGCACATTGTACATCAGTATCCTCAAAATTAGGGGAACTGCTAAGGCAGCTGTTATGGTAACCCATGTGAAATAATGATGGCTGCAATCAGGGTGGCAGCCACATAAGGGAAGAGAAATGATCGAGTCTGGAGGGATTTTGAAGGTAGAACCAGGATGTTTTCTCATCTATTATGCAGGTTCTAAAAGGTTTATTGTACTTTTTGAAAAACTAAAGAAAAGCCAAAGGAATGAATTTCATACTGTCATAGGGGAATTGTGTTTAACTTTGTTTTCTGCATTTTTTAGTATATTTCTGTGTTCCCTGTCTCATAATTGAATCTACCATTGGATGTGTGCCATTGTATCATAGGTATTTGAGAGTTAAAAAGCTGTAACCGGTAGCAGGTTCAATCCTGAAGCCCAGAGACAACTGGTCTCGTGGAGCAGTCACAATGACAAAAGATAAAATGGCCAGTCACAGTCATAATACAGATTGCCCTTGGGATTTCTGCTACCAAAACCAAATGCTAAAGTAGCAAAATGCAGTTGTGTTTTCTTTTTCCTCAAGTACAGTAAGGCGTAGAATGGGTGCGTCTGTTTTAGATTTGGTATTTCTTCATTGACTGTATCATCACTTAGAACAACACTGCAAAAGGAAGGTGTAATTATTTTCTTAAATTCTAAAGCCGAAGAGTCAGAAGCTTCAAGTCTCTGCTGATGTTTCAGGCCTTGGCAGGGTAG